AATCCCTTCCCCTGTAATGAGATTGATGACTACCTTATATTACCGTCCTAGAACCTTCATCCAGTGGCTGATGGAAGCAGAGGCAGACACCCACAGCTAAACAGTGAGCTAAACTGGAATCCAGTTGCAGAGAAGGAGGAGTGATGGGCAACGGGATCAAGACCAGGCTGAGGAAACCCACAGAAACAGCTGACCTGAACAAGGAGGAGCTCTTAGACCCCAGACTGATAGCTGGGAATCCAGCATAGGACTGACCCAGACCCCGGGAACATGGGTGTCAGGAGACCTGGGCAGTCTATGGGGCCTCTGGTAGTGGGTCAGTATTTATCCCTAGCATAGGAATGGACTTTGGGAGCCCTCTCCACGTAGAGGGATACTCTCTTAGTCTAGACACACAGGGGAGGGTTTAGGCCCTGCTCCAAATGATATGACAGACTCTGAAGATCCCCGTGGAAGGCCTCACTCTCCCTGAGGGGCAGAAAGGGGTTGGGATAGAGGGTCGGTGGGGGCAGGGCAGGAAGAGGGGACTTGGATTGACATTTAAAACAAGCTTGTTTCTAACTTAAGTTAAAAAATGGAGGAAGAAAAAGAAGAAGGAGAAGAAGGAGGAGGAGGAGGAGGAAAAAAGAAATGCTAAAAAATGATATTTTAGATGTATATTCCATGTGTGTCTGTGCACAGTTTCCTTGGCCATTCTGTTGGCAGATTCTCAGATTGTTTCTGTCTTGGGTATGGGGAATAGTGCTGCAGTTAACATGGGGATGCAGATACCTCTTCCTTTGTGCTCAGATGTGTCCTCAGAGGGGGTTGGTGGTAATTCTAGTTTCAGCGTTTTGAACAACCAATTTTCCATGATGACGAGCTAATTACATTCCCACCTACAAGGCCTATGGGGCTCCCTTTCCCCACCCTCACCACTGGTTACCTCTGCACTCCACAAGGCATCCTGTGGTTCTCTCTCGGGAGAAGATAAACGGAAATCGTCATTGTTTGAGGGACCTGGCCACAGAGGCCCTTTTGTTTACTGTAAGGCCAAAATGAGCCTACTTGTCAAGTCACAGCTAAGAAACATTGCTTCAGAAAAAGTAAAATAATGTCTTCAATTAAGAGGTGATTTTGAAAAAAAAAACTATTTCCATTATTTTGAGAATGATTCTACCACACTTTTATTCATGAAAAATGTGCTCTGCACTAACAGTGTGACAGGGGCCAATGCTACATGTCCTTTTGATTTCTGTACGCTTATAAACTGAATCACACAAGCACACTCTGTTTCAGAAGTCTTTAGTTTCACAGGGAAGCATTTGGTCTTTGGCTGTAGATTTGAGCTTGTCTGAGTGACTTTGACCTTTCGTTGGGTTTTGCACACCTGCACTTCCCGGATTTCTTGAAG